AGGCCTAATCACTAATACCTTTGACCAACCAAAGTACTTGCGAAAGAGAAAAGATTCTTCCCAAGATTGGTACCGAACCATTTCAAAACACCCCAATTTCAATAGAGAAGACGGCCTAAAATTGTCAACACCTGATCAATAATATCCAAATTAAAATCTCAAAAAAAAAACAACCGCGAAAATAGAGGACACCGTGACCATTTTTGCCAAAACCCTCCATCTTTTAGTCGATACCAACTCCGGGAAATAAATACAGATATGCAACTTTCTCTGCAGCTGTGATACTTTTTGACATTCAACATCTTTTGTCTTCAGTCACCGTGACCACGCACGCTGTAAAGCACGCGAAACGTCGGATAAATTTAAAATTATGTCAAATAGTTGTAAATTTATAATAATAAACATAACTTTAATCCGGTAAAAAGCGTTTTTCTTTAAATGTGTAAAGGTTATGTTAATCAAAGACAATATCATGTTTCTCATCAATAAAAATAATAATTAATAAGTAAAAAAGGAAAGGAAACGTTTGACCTCGATTACCAAGGCAAGGTGAAGTAGGAGCATACATGTTCGAAATACATATTTTTATTTAATAAATTTTGATGAGGATAATACTTCGACTTGGCCGATCATCAAAGTTGATTTTCAATTGTATTGTCGCATTATTGAGTGTTTTTGCTTATTAAGAACCATTCAGAGACAAAGTATTTGTTATATTATTATTAATAATAATAATAAAATCGTTTATTTGCTAAGATAGCCTAATATAAATAGGCATGTAAATGTAATTTTTATAACGTCATATAATAAGAACATTAACATCTAATATTTAAAATTCTCATATCACAATGTTCGTTCCCATACTCCTCCGAAACGGCTCGACCAATTCTTATGAATTTTTTTATGCATATTCAGTAAGTCTGAGAATCGACTACTATCTATCTTTCAAACCCCTAAGTGATAAGGGGTGCTCACCCCAAAAAAATTTTTTTGTTATTTTTTAGACAAATTTTTTTGTTTTTATTTTTTTATGATACAGCATACAAAAATACATACAACCCTTAATTTACATCTACCTTCTGCGATAAACCCCTATTTTTATTTGTTAGTTAAGAACTTATAACTTGAACTCTGAGTTTTATATAGAGGAGAATCACAGGAAAACCTACAAAGTTTTCATTCCGGAAAACTGAACAGTCTCTGGGGTAGCATAGCAAAATGTTCCATGATGGTATGTACTAAAAAGGTAGGCTAAGTTAAATCACTTTAAGGAGAAACGAAGTTCGCGGGGGCAGCTAGTAATGTCATAATAATAAGTTAAGTTATTTAGAATTGGTTTTAAACTTATGGTCTAAATGCTCGCATCTCTGGGCCGGTGCTCCCAAATACCAGCTTCTTCCATTTGACCAAATTCAGCGAAGGGCTTGTCGAATTGTCAATCTCCAATGTCTTACTGATCGGCTTGATTCTCTCTCGCTACGCAGAGACATTGCGTTTTTAACAAAGTTTACTACGGAGAGTGTTCGGAAGAATTGTTTGGGTTGATCCCTCCTGCCTCTTTTCAACACCGTACGAGCCGAACGACTTTTAAATTTCACCAGCATCATCTTGATGGTTGGAGGTCTTCCACAGTCCGTTTCACAAGGCATTTTCTTTTGCGAACTAGCGAACTGTGGAATCGGCACCCGGGGGGGTCGTCCCTCAGAGATACGACCTCCAAATGTTTAAAAAGCGAGTCTACTCCTCCCTCAAAGTCGTCTATGGTCTATGGTCTGCGTAGACTGCCCTTTTTGGTCGTCCCGCAAGCTCGTTTGCCCCCCCTATTATATTTAAAAAAAAATACGCACATTGCCTTTAAAAATTTAATCACACATATTATTAATCAAACCACTTTCATTGTCCCCATACTTATTTTATCCTTATCCTTACGACTGACAACTGTGTGTGTGTACAATACTCATTATTTTAAGTTAAAATTGTATTACAGCAACCGAACCGCTCTTTGTGATACAATGCAAATACTATAAAAAGTACACGCAAGCAAGGTGAAGTTTGGAATCGAAAGTGAAAATTTAGTTTTTAAGAAAGTGATTAAAGATGAAAAGGCCTTTGAAAGAGAAGACGCGGTGGGCGAAGTGCGTTTATATGTAGGTTTACTTTCTGTGTGATGTGGTGTGGTCGGTGTTTGTTTTCATATTGTTATTGAGTATTGTCTAACCGTTAGTTTCGTTTCAGTTTTATTAGAATTTGAAAATAGAAGCGAGTGTTACATGTGTAATGTAAAACTTATTTTGTATTGGTTATCTTAACAAGAGTACAAAAACTTCAAAGACTGCTTACAATTTCACTGATAGTACATAAAATAACGAGATGACTCAGGTCTAACACCTGTACGGCCAAAAATAAAACACATTTCAACGATTGTTGAAAACACACGCTGTTTCGTCAGACGATGCAACTTCGATAATTAATGATTCCGTCAGAAAGATAGCTAAGCTATATTCCACTGTACTGAAGGCGGATTTATCATAGACATAACATTTATTACTAACAAACACACACACACACACACACATAAACACACAAAATAACAATAATCAAAGAAAAAAATAAAATTAGATATAGCAAAAACAATGAAAAAAATTCCCTTTTCCCATTCGGTTCCGAAAAAAACCGTTCCAGTTACAATCCTTAAAAAATCTTTAAAGAGCCTTCATGAGTGTCCATGGGCAACATCACCTAATATCAGATGAGCCTCCTGCCCTGTAACATTAAAAAAATATGAAATCGCCTTTAATATAGCAAACTCTCTGTATGTGGCCTAATAAACCAAAATAACTTGTAACCGACACATGAACCATACTAATATAAACATTATCACAAGTCTTTGTGCCAGGGATTTCGTTCATGTAAAGCAGTTTAAATTTTCCTATATCTGATAGAGATAGGCTTCGGGCGGTTAATTCGTGTATCGCATAACATCTTAAGGTTCCTAAATAATCATTTTATACTAATTGCGCTACATTTATCTCAAATTTCTGCACGTGATTTATGATCCTAATTAATTTCAGTAACGTTTAATTCTACAAATATTTATTCAACATTTTATTTCCTTATTTGCTATTTTTACAGTAACTTAATACACGCCGAGTGTGATTATTTGGCCCAGTCTCTCCAACATTTACGCATTATATATATACTACCTCTAAGGGTCTTAAAAAATATAATCCTTACCTCTTGTTGTATCCAACCATACATACATACTTAGTTGTCTAATAAATTATTAGCAGCTTTTATGGTCCTGAAAGTTCTAAAGAAAACTTTTGTGCTACAGTTATAATATTCTAACATTGACAAGTATATTATATCTTTATAATACTAACTACATTTTAAACCCCTTGACAAAAACTGACGTAACTCTATCGTCGCTTTCTGAAATGTCGTTTATGCAGGCAGGCTGCAGGCTTGCCGGCTTCAGTAAAATTTAGTACAGATACCGGCAAACATCTTGACCATTAAACAAGGGAGTGGGGAAAAGTTTGCGCAGCGCGGGACACGACTCATTTACCAATCACGTCAGCCGCGCACCACCGACAGGGGTGGACAACCCTTATCACTTAGACTTTAGAGGTATGAAAAATAGATAGTAGCTGATTCTGAGACCTACTGAACATGCATATAAAATTTGATAAAAATCGGTCAAGCCGTTTCGGAGGAGTATTGTAACTAACATTGTGACACGAGAATTTTATATACCAAAGTTGTCAAATTATTCGTCAATGAAACACTATGTCCTTGGAGGCTCTTTGATGTATATAATAAGAGATTCTTTACATATGTGTTAGTATATATCCCAGATGTCAGTCTAATTGGGAAAGGGGACACGTGATGTTTGGGTTCTCTCGAAATAGACATGGACATTAATTAATTTTTATTACGTTAAAATTTAACAAACCAGAAATATAAACAAACGTGAAATGCGGTTAGGTTGAGTTATGAATTTATTTTTACAGTATTTTGGTAGCGTCACTCGGTTTTCTTTGCCGAGTTTTAATATAAACTGTTCACCAATGATTCGTTTACATTTATTGAAGATTATGCTGATAGAGCAGTGTTGGCCTAGTGGCTTCAGCGTACGAATCTCATACCTGAGGTCGTAGGTTCGATCCCTGGCTGCGCACCAATGGACTTTCTTTCTATGTGCGCATTTAATATTTACTCGAACGGTGAAGGAAAACATCGTGAGGAAACCGACATGTCTTAGACCCAAAAAGTCGACGGCGTGTGTCAGGCACTGGAGGCTGATCACCTACTTGCCTATTAGATTTAAAAATGATAATGAAACAGATTCAGAAATCTGAGGCCAAGACCTAAAGAGGTTGTAGCGCCACTGATTAATTTTTTACACTATCAAAAGCTTCATCCAGGAATTTCAAGTAGGAATATAGAGTGCCTTAATGCAAATGCAAATAATAGATGTATGGCCTTAGCACCAGAGTCAAGGCTGTCCATTTTGCTTACTCAGGCTTTCTTAGTTTTATAAGCGTGGCGATTTCCTAAATCATCGGACTTACGTGCCGAGAGTATAGCCAGACGTAGGCACTCTCTTCAACGGTTACATTGCATTCATTTGTTACATAGCAATTAACAGTATTTCGCTTATAATCTATTGTTGTACGCGAGTGGTTAATATAGAGTAAAACTAAAATCCTCTATTATTTATAGCTCCCCGATGACCCAGGAACCGAACACTAAGTGTGATTTCTATATATATATAAACTGTGGTTTACGCGTATAAATTATTTGTTATAATATTATGTCTAAATTAAATAATTAAACTTATCCGCGCTTGGTACCGGCATATTTATTTATAATTGACAGACTGTTTTACACAAAATTTAAACAATAAAGCTGTACCAGGTTAATTTATTTGCATCCAAAAAACTTTACTAACCTCTTCCAAATACTCCTGAAAGCTTTCGAAACGTCGATCACGTAATATGTTACAAAATATTGTTTCAGGTCTATCATTTTCTACTGAGAATAAAAAATATTACCTCTACAGTATTGCAGTGAAGGCTGCCTTGGTTTTTCTATTTATGAGTGAATTGTGGCAGTTTTTGAGTACGCAGTGGACTTTAGACAGAATCACTGATAGCTTAAACCTAATAATGATTCAACTTGGTGCATTCTGCAAATATAGGAAAAAGGTATTAAAAAAATCAGTGGCGCTACTACCTTTTGAGGTTTGGGCCTCAGATTTGTGTATCTGTTTCATAATCATTTGTCAATCAAATAGGTGATGCCTGACACAGGGTTTTTTGGTCTAAGGCAAGCCGATTTCCTCACGATGTTTCTCTTCACCGTTCGAGCGAATTTTAAATACCTAACGACTTCTGGGATAAGAGTCACTGAAGCCCAACACACCTCTGGAGAAATGTATTATAATTGATAATTCAATAAAATATTTATTAGCCCCATACTCTGAGGCGAGTATTCCCCACTTTTACAGTGCTCAAGACTACATGAGAGCTTTATGAATATAGGTGTACAAACTATAAGGATACAATACGTTTCACCAAAAACCAGTTTTGAATTCCCCAAAAAGAAGTATTAAAACATCGCGAGAGACAATTTCTATCATTTGACTTTTCATTTTAAATAGATAATAAATGGTATTTGCCCAGCCAAGTTTGTAATATAAAAATATATTAAGTTTTTTCACTCGTCCCAAGATAGCAAAATTTACTTTGTACACACGTTATAGTTAGCCTACGAGAACGTGTTTAGAAGACTAGCTTCGTCCATGAATTCGCCGAACTTTGATCTATCGACGGATGAAAGGAAAAAGTTGCTGCAAGTTTGGCAAAGGAGGAGTGTGGGTCATTTAAAGCTACTTTTAGCGCTGGGGACATGTACAGTTATAGCGTGGTAAATATTATTTATTTATAAATACAACCACAGAATGTTTGGTGTTAGATACACTTAGTTTTTAGTGAAAATTCATATAGGTTTTTCTCAATATAGTTCACTAACTGTCTTGAAGTTCAACTCGGGTTAATTTGGTCGGAAATAACTAATAAATCGTTTATTAGTAAGTTTTACATTCAAATAGATTGATTCAAAAAAACCGTACAATCAGCCATATAAAAATAGGCATGCAAATGTCATATTAATTATCATGATGTCATAATAATAAGTTACGATATTTGTATTTTTTTATAATGTTGGTATAGTTATTTAAGCAGTAGTATCTTAGATACTACTGATAATTGGACTGATTTGAGCGCGACCGCCGCTGCGAAAACCGCAGTGAGACAGAAATAGGCAAGCTGATCACTCCGTCAGCTTTTTGAGACTAAGGCAAGCTGGAGAACACGATATTTTTCTTGACCGTTCGAGCGAATGTTACATAGAAAGAAAGTCCAACTGTGTAGGGCCGGGAACCTCAGGGATAAGAGACGCACGCTGAAGCCACTACGCCAACACTGCTCTGCAGATTCGATAATTTTAATAATTATTTTATTTTTTAAAGCTACGCACTGGCATAATTATATTGAGACTAGCTATCAAAAAAATTAAAAATAATTATAATTAATAATCGTCTTTCAGGCACATCTATCCTTTGGTGGACGATTTAGATTACAACCTAATGGTACCAATACGCCTACCTTTCACCTACCAGACTCAACTAAAGTACCCAATCACCTACTTCCTGGTCATCATAGTATTCTCCTATATGTCGTATTTTGTCATGGTGAACGACCTTATCATTCAAGCTCACGTTATGCACCTGCTATGTCAATACACGATTTTGGGTGACTGCTTTAAACATATACTGAGGGATTGCAAATTGGATTTTCGTGGTATGTTTTGCTTCAAAACCTAATTTTTGCGAGTGATTGCGTGACGGCACATGTGGTTGGACGATAACAGATGGCGACACCTGTATTGTAAATTGAATTAATAAATTTTATTTTTTTAAATTAAAATTATAATTTTTTTTTATTTTATATTATAATTAATTAATTTTTTATTTTTTTCATTGATTTTATTTATAATTAATTTATCAGTCATATTTTAACATTATGGGTTCATTAATTTTATGCCTACATACATCATGAAACGGTAATTTCGTCTTCAACTTGTGTTTCTTCCTTGCCTTCTAAAAGCCCGGCCACTCTCGAAACCATAAGTGGAACAAGTAATCATTATTATTGCATACTGCAACAAGGTTTACTTCTTCAATTACAAAAATTTTAAAGTCTAAGACTGAATTTTCTTTTAAATATAAGACAAGCGTTTTCGACTAGTGACAGCTTAAAAGTCCTCTTTTGTTTTAATTTTCTAGACTTAAATGAAACGCAGCTGTATTCGAACAAAAACTTCCAACAAAAGTACAAGAAGCGACTCGGAGATTTGATACGCCAACATAAATGTATTCTCAAGTAAGCGCTTTTTGTTTTCTTTTTATTTTCAAGCCAACAAAGTACTAATATCACGATATTTATAACAAAATTCATTAAAATACTTTTAGCCATATGTAGAACTGGTATCCTCAACGGTAAGTTCCTACGTAAAAATGAAAGAGGTGGTGGACTCGTGCTTGCTACCGTGCCTTGCATATGGCGCATAAGCTTGGATTTTTCAAAAACGAAAGCCTAAATACCTTCACGCCAGCGTGCGATAGCAAAAAATATTCTTGGAATTAAACTAAGTGCTAAACAGAAAAGTATACGCAGAAAAATTAAAAATAATAGATACTGAGCATCATGTCCTACAACTCGAATGGAGATGCGTAGGGCACATAGCCCGTTATACAGAATGGCCCAAAAGGAAAACAAAACAAAGGTAGACCATTAGAGAGATGGGCCGACGAGATTGAAAGGGTAGCTGGAAAATTTGGATGATGAGGGCATAAAATAAAATAGGATAGATTCAGTTTGAGGAGGTTTTCTCCCATGACCGCGTTTAGAGTAATACAATTGTATTTATATTTATTTTTGTTTAAAGTGTGTCAATAAGGTCAATAGCAGTGTTGGCCTAGTGGCTTCAGCGTACGACTCTCGTCCCCGAGGTGGTAGGTTCGATCCTTGGCTGTGCACAAATGGACTTTCCATGTGTGCATTTAACATTCGCTCGAACGGTGAAGGAAAACATCGTGAAGAATCCGGCATGCCTTGGACCAAAAAAATCAATTAAATATAGAAAGCTATCAACTTCCCTGTTTGAAAAAATATTACGATAATTGAGGCCAAAATCAAGGGTTTGAGCTTGATAAAAATTGTTTTGGAATCAGTTTTTAAGTTTGTTATGGAAAAACTGGGAACCCCAACAGAGGTATTTTTCATTAAATAATACAAAAACTATATTACACTCGTTTTTAAACACGTGAAAATAGTAATTCTCACCTGCTTTAGCAAACCCAAAGTACTTGTAACCCACGTAAATTTTTAAAAAAAATAGTCAAACTTTTAAAATCAGTCTTATTTATTACCTTATAATCATAGCATTTAAATGACAATATAAAACAAGATCGTTTTTCAGTTTTGACTAAATATTAAACTTTTAATTTTTTTTGTGACCACTGAAGGGACATACTTCCACAGAATAGAACAAAAACAAAAACAATCGTTACGTTAGTCTTAAAAAGTTATTCATAATAAACAATACAAAGTAAAAAAAGGATTTTAAAAGATATCATCATCACTCGAATCAAAAAATGAACAGCCTTTACATTTCTTTTGTGGTGCATTTGAGTCGTCAGAATCACTGTATTCTGGGAATGCACGGACTCTGGATTTTTTGGGTGTTACTTTTGGTGGTGTAATTGAGTTTTTCAAGTCACTTACATCAAGGGTTGGACAGAACCTGAATTTATTAGGAGTTACTGAGTCATCAGAGCGTGTATTAATTAAATTTGGCTTTTGTGGGGTTAATGGTTGACGGGTTGGGCTTGGTGATGATTCCAATGATGGTGTATTAAACAAGGGTTCAAGCAGAGTTGGGGTTGTCGGTCCAGTGGCTGTAAAGGCTGATGTAGTGTTATTAGTGGTTGCTGGACTGGGGGTTGAAGAAGATGTAAAATTCTGTAGAAATTGTGTTTCTATAAAATTACACGAAATGCCCTCAACCTCTATTTGTCCAATTTCAAAATGGGTACATTCAATATGGGCTGCACATAATAAGCTGCTCAATCGTCTGCAAAGTATAATGTTAGGTGCTTTTGCACTCCATGCAACCTGATGAATTTTGAAGGTCCCTTTAAAAGGACGAAGTTTGACGTTTGCAATTTCTTGTATATTAGATACTTCATTATCAATACGGATAATTTCAATGTCTTTACAGTTACCTTTTAAACATGAAATAAAACTATCAATGTTCGATATATAACAGGTTTTAAATGTGCACAAATGAACACGGGATCGTGTCTTAAGTTTTCTGATACAGTCAAAGGTTTGTGTAAGGTTTGTTGGTGGCTGATTATTTGACGAGTAGTACACACATGTATGAAGTGAAAGTTGTGCTTTAGATCCGCCAAAATGGGCTGATTGTATTTCTGATCCATATTTGCAGCAATAATTTTCTGAAAAATCAATATGAAGTTTTGTTTGATTGATCGAATAACTCTGTGTTGGTTTATTATATTTGCAAGATGTTGAAAATATGTAGGTAATTTTGTCTTAAAAATATTAACGAGTAATTGATGAGTAGTTTTAACGGATTTTTGGCATAGCTTGCTCTTTTCTGTGGACAATGTCTCTCGTGTGATAATATAATAAGAAACGATGGCTGCATGCTAATCGGTAAATTCATTAATTACTTACTAATATACACAAGGAACAGGAAAGACTCACTGATCTTTGATGAAAATCATAAAATTTACAAAAACTGTTGTAATAAACTACAGCCTCAGTCACTCAATCCAAACTGGCAAACGCCAGCCGTGTATTGTGGCCAGTACAAAAAAATAATTGTGAAATAGTATTTTGAGTTAGCTCGATAAAATCGATTGAATTTTAGGTCTACAGAAAAGACGTGATTTTGCGTAACCAACTGTTTATTGCTAATTGTGTAGGTTTAGCTAGATATATATTTAATAACTTGGTAACATTTTAACATTCAGTATACATATTATCGATAATTAATATTTAATATGAGATAACACTTGTTAATTAAGAACAGAATTTGTCAAAATGTGCTTACCGCGTTCACGAACAGTCCACAGAAGGGGACATTTTAAAACTTTCTTTTTTTTTCAACAAATTAGTAACTAAATAATTCCATATTTAGCAAACGTAAATGAAGGAATATTTGTGAATAATATATCAAAATATATATCAGCATAAAAAAGTATTATTTTTAAACAATCCTCAACCTGAACTAGCCCATGAGTTTGACCCACTTGTATTAAATATTCATGAGATTGGGCGACGAACATTGTACAGCTAAATTCACGTGGAAATAGGTTTCACCGCAAACAATTTGCTATTCTCACAACCCACTAAAGCCTCACGTTTTAACAGGGATGGATTTCATTATGACAAACATATTAGTGGACTGTAAGTTTGTAACAAAACTTTGAAATTTAGCTGTTATCGCTTATTAATGAAAATGTGTTAGGTCCATAAAGTGGAGATTTCTCTTTTGACAAAACAATAGTGGCTCATGCAGAGGATTTTATTTTAAACAGTGGCCAAATGGGCAGGATTCTTATCTTAAGTGTTACCGCCCATGGACACTCTCAATGCCAGAGGGTTGGCGAATGCGTAGCCGGCCTTTTAAACGATTTCGTAAGACCGTGAAGTCTAGGATCTTGGATTCGATTCCTACATTCTAAAACTCGCTATAGCAAGTGCTAATAAAAATAACTTTTCTCGTAACTAAAATGACTAGTCCGTAAATAGAATTTGCGCCCAGTATAATGATCTATTCAATTTGACATTTTTAATTAAACAAAAGCATACCAAAATGACATAATAATTTATTAAGTAAATACTTACACATCTCACAAACACGCGGACACACATAAACACATATACAGACACAGCAATATTTATAAGTATTATATTTTACTAGGTTAGGCCGTTTATGGCAATTCTTTGTTGATACATACATTTGATTTTGTTTGATAAAAACTGTTGGCTTAATAAATACTAATTACTGCGGGTAAATTCGTGGGGCACACGTTATATTGTTCTCAACCTGTAGTGGGATGTGACCCCACTGAACGGTAATATCTTTTTTGGGTATTGTGAGTTTCCACTCCTATGTCAGATTGTTTGCAATACCCTCGTAGCAGGTTCCTGGGACCTCAGGAAGAATGCATACGAGGCTTGAGAACCTTTTCGTCTTTAAGAGGGCTGAAGTTTTTCAGCTAGAGATGCAAAAAAGTAATGCACGCAGAAAGTTTAGTTATATATATCTCAAACATAAATTAAATAACATTATTTAACTGTTATTTTCAGCAACACATCAGACCTGCGAGATATATTGAGTCCGCCAATGTTAGCTCAACTGGCTGTAAGCACTACTCTTATTTGTTCAATCGGTTATCAACTCGTTGCCACCGTAAGACTTTGATTTTTATTTATTTAATTTCAGTTACGTTATAATTTAAATGTTCAATTAATCGAACTAAAGTTATTCAAGTATTTAATGTTTGGCTTGTACGGTAAAATGTAGACTCATTTTTAATTTATAAAATTAATGTTTCATGTTTGATTTTTATTTATGAAATTTCAGTTACATTATAATTTAAATGTTCAATTAATCGAACTAAAGTTATTCAAGATTGTTTAATGTTTGGCTTGTTCGGTAAAATGTAGACTCATTTAATTTAGAAAATTAATGTTTCATGTTTGATTTTTATTTACGAAATTTCAGTTACGTTATACTTTAAATGTTCAATTAATCGAACTAAAGTTATTCAAGAATGTTTAATGTTTGGCTTGTTCGGTAAAATGTAGACTCATTTAATTTAGAAAATTAATGTTTCATGTTTGATTTTTTTTTATGAAATTTCAGTTACGTTATAATTTAAATGTTCAATTAATCGAACTAAAGTTATTCAAGAATGTTTAATGTTTGGCTTGTTCGGTAAAATGTAGACTCATTTTTAATTTATAAAATTAATGTTTCATGTTTGATTTTTATTTATGAAATTTCAGTTACGTTATAATTTAAATGTTCAATTAATCGAACTAAAGTTATTCAAGTATTTAATGTTTGGCTTGTTCGGTAAAATGTAGACTCATTTTTAATTTATAAAATTAATGTTTCAAGTTTCAATAACATGTCTGTTATTATAGTGTTCGACAAGTGAAGAAGAAGAAAAATCTTTATTATACACCATATACAGAATATACAGATATAGATAAGGTAAAGTGCACTGGCCCCCACATTAGGATTCCCTGTGTTGTGCAGCCAGTCTCTTCCTTTTGATAAGTAAACAGTATTTTACTTAATGAATTGTACATAATACATATTTAATTTATTTTTTAATTTGCAGTCAATAAACGTGAATGTAACAAAATGGCTCATGAGTTTTTTGTATTTGGGATATAATATGTTTGGTCTGTACATACTCTGTCGGTGGTGTGAGGAAGTCAAAATTCAGGTAATTTATAGAAATGTACAAAGATTCGATCCACGGATGTGCACCAAGAAGACCCAAAAAGTCGACGGCGTGCATCAGGCACAGGTGACTGATCACCTACTTGCCTTTTTAGATTTAAAAATAATCTTGAAACAGATTCAGAAATCTGTGGCCCAGACCTAAACAGGTTGTAGCGCCACTGATTTATTTAATTAATTTAAAAACATTAAATAATATACAAAAAAGCCACCCCAAATACCACTTTGTCCCGTAGCCCATTTCTTGAATTTTTTGGCAACTAGAAGATCAACCTTTTGTGTCAGTCTGAAACCATTCTGTTACACCTATATTTACGAGTCAATTTGTCACTAAGACGTAGAGTGGTAGTCCCGGAGTAGTATCAAGAAATAAACTGTCAATCCGTAATTCTGTCTGTCTGGAACTGTCTTTCTAGAGTAAGGCCATTGGAGACGCAGTATATTTCTCGGGATGGGAGGATGTCATCACACAAGTGCCAGGAGTTCGTTCCAGTTTACTTTTGATACTGGCTCGATGCAACAAACCTCTTGTTCTGTCTGCTGGAGGCATGTATGACCTCTCACTTGAGGCTTATGCAACTGTAAGTTGAGTTGAGGTTTCACCAGATAGAAGTGTTTTTTCCCCAATTGTCACATTTAATCAACTTTATCTCCGTACGTATATATGATGCAAGAGTAACTAAAATATATTTATTATTCTTGTGAATGTAAAGATTTATAATTTTATTCTTATTTTAACGGCTCAAATAAAAGAGTCTTTCCTCCAACTTAAATTTTGTTCCCTAGAGTTTTTTTTGAGTAGAGACTTCGGCCGTGGAGTTCACGAGTATAAGCGCTAATTAAAGATTTAAGTTGGCGCCTGATAGATAGTACCGGTGACCCAAGAGCTGGTGTTTTTCTCGCTTAACGAATAAGTATCGCAATACAGCCAGGAAATACTGCCATCATTAAAGTAATGCCACAGGGACCAAAATTTTTAAATTTATGTATCTTCAATTTTCAATTATTATATCATTACTGTTTAGGTTAAGAATATTGTAAATACTGTATGTTCTTATTTAACTTATCATTATATAATATATTATAAACTACTTACCAAAGCACAATGTGAAAGATTAAGTGTAACCCAGAGAGCCATGGAAAGAAGGATAATAAAGAAAAGAAGAATTGACAAAATTAGTAATAAAAAATTAAGAGATAAAACAGGGTTTGCTCACGTTGTGTATAAAACAAAAGTACTAAAATGGAAATGGGCTGGACATACCATAAGAGGAGCAGAAAAATGGAGCAAAATTTTAACACTATGGCAACCAAGAGGCCATAAAAGAAACAGAGGTAGGCAATTTAAGAGGTGGGCCGATGAAATCGTGGAAATGGCAGGAAAGACTAAGACCTGGACGAGATTGGTTTACAATAAGGAAAAATGGAGGACAATGGGGGAGGCCTTTGCCCGTAGGCACACAGAATCAGTTATCATAGATTAAGGAAAATAACATTTATAATGTATATATTTTGTATTCTGATATAAGGCTATGAATAAATAAATAAATAAAAATATTATAAACAAATATGTGATAGGTAAAATAAGAACATATATAATAACATTATATAAGTGATAAGAAACTTAACTGAGATTATTTCAGATCTTATACGTACATTATTGATTATCAGTTGTAAGTATGCAACATTTCCTTCCATGGTGTTAACCATACTGCATTATAATATATTGACTATGTTCCCGTGTTGTATGTATATAGGTTTGTTTATTGGAAGGTAAATATAAAATAGAATAACTTAATTAATAAATGTTGTTTTTTCAGATGGTTAAAACTTCATACAGTGCGCTGACTGTGCTTCTACGATTTCGCCAAAATTAGATCACCATTCCCAAGTATTAGTTCTATGCACGTACATTTTTGAATTCAGTAGAATTTTATAGAATAAAAATGTGTCATCATATTTTGTTTTATTTACTTGCCCAGAAGATAATAGAATAAATAAGATATTGAATATAAATTGTGAAAAGGCGTATCGCAAATTAAGGCTGCCAATAGATCAAATAATAATAATCTGTAAATAAGCAAACCAAAGTTCAAAGTTACTAATCTACTTGCGGATGTTGTCCTGTAATGATCGTTTGGTTACGTGCCAACAGCTCTACCAGTTAAGCTATCCGGGACTCGTACCTGAAAAAGCAGCTGTTTAGTTGCAGTATAGATAAATAACCTAGATACCGACTGCATCGCCATCTGCCGGGCTGATTTGTATTTGTATTTTTTTGTACGCATACAATAAATTTCTTCTTTCTTTCAAATCGGTCCAGCTGTTTAAGAGGAGTTCAGTGACACACGTACGGTAGAATTATATATATATAAAGATTGGAGAAAACATACTTTTATCAAATATACTATAATAGAGAAAGCGAAATAACCTGTCCAACCACGAGTTCAGGGTTATTATCTGTACTCATTTAAAACCAGGCAATGTTGAATCACCAACTATCCAGGTTCGATTTAAAATACCTCTTGCTTGGTCTCATTTGAACCACAACGATGCCCAGTTGACCATGCTAATAAATGAATATTTTCGCGTAATACAAGAAAACCTATCGTAGCTTGCATCTCTGTCAGTCAATTTAAAATTAGCACTGAACTTTCCCAGCTGCTTTGACTTTAGGGTGAATATTAATCAACAATTCTACAGTGTATAATTATTGTGAAATTAAGCGATTCCAATATAATCGTTTAAATGGTCATCAGTGATCATGAACGAATAATTAATGCGTTCATTATTTCCATTGTACTATGATGAAATAAAAAATTGTGAAGTCGAAACTCTGCTACGTGTAGTCTCGGACTGGGGCGACTAAACCTTGTCGCAATTTTTATATAATAGGAGGCAAACGGTCAGAAGCCACACCTGGACCTGGATACCGCCGCCCATGGACACTCTGCCAGAAGGCTCGCAAGTGCATTGCCGAATTTAAACACAAGGAGGCACAAATTTGCACATTTTCCCCAAATTTAATGACACTCTTTAGGCAACTGCCAGCATCGGAATACTTGGCGTTGACATATCGAACGACGTTCAGTTTCGCGGTCGCTTGGAGGCAAAACGGTACTTCACAACGGGCGTTGCAACTGTATAAAGCGCAAATTCGGCCCCACATGAAGTACTGTTCTCAGGGGGCAGATTCCTTGCGTTGCGCAGAGATGTGGGATCACTCTACATCTTCTACCGCATTCTTCACTCTAACCCATTGAACTCTAACACATTAAATGTTCAGAAAAGATGTCCGGATTAATACCTGCAGCTAAGTTTCATCATCGGACGTGGGATTAGAATACGAAAGGTCACCCCTATCTATCATTTCGTATTTTTGTATCGTTGGCTCTGATATTTTTATCTTTTATGACGTCTCTATAGTGGTTTATAATATTTAAAATTCAAATTACTTGTAAGTCAAGTTTATAATTGAGTTAAGCTCCAGCCTCGGCATTGCACCAACTTTTATTTATATCTGCGTAATCAACACCCGCTTGTATAGCAATGGAAAACATTAAACGGACATACGTTAATTAGGAAAAAATTGAAGGCAGAAATGGCCTAACATAATCTTTAGACGGCGGAGTTTCTTCAACTTGAGCAATAGTTTTAGGAGTCAACACTCTTTTTTTGACTTTGTTTTCAAAATTTGAAAAACTCTTTTCAAAAAGATGAAACAGAGAGTGTATAGAAATTTCTGTTTTGAAATGTTGAACCAAATCCAGAAGGACCATCTAGTACAAACGCACCACTCAAAAGACTTGACCTTGAAGAAATTTCGAATACTTTTGAGTCGATGATGGTACTACATCGTGTTTAGATTATGTTGATGGAGACCTTTCGAGAAGCCTTGTTGGGTTAATTATTTGCTTTTCTTTATTCCTACATAATTATGTATTTACATTGGATGCTTGGCGAACCCATGCGACTTCTTCAATATAAAGAGTCCCCTCGTAAATTGTGTGCTGTGATATTGCAGGCTACTCGATTGTGAGGAAGTTGCATGGATCTAGTTATTGCTGTATGCTGTATCGCTATCGCTGCGACTTCTTAAGTTCTTATGTTATTTTCACACACAGGGGGAATTGAGAGGTCTGGAGGCCTCGGGACAATAAAGGAGTGGAGGTCCAATATTATTTTTCAAATAAAATGAAAAAAGATATTTTGTCGAGTTTTTCAATCAATAATTTATTGTGAAATCCAGTAGATTCTTTAGAATTTAATCAACGTATAAAAATATAGCAAAAGAAAAATGGTTTACTAGTCTGAATTTAAAACATGATTTTTTTCCGAAGTCTATTGTTGGGGCCCCTCTTTTGGGGAGGTCCCGGGGTTGCAGCCCCGGTTGCCCTGACCTAAATCCGGCCCTGTTCACATATCGTTTCTATAACATAATTTTCTTGTAACATGAGATGTTTGAGATCAAAAATAAAATGAAAAGTCAAAATAGTCTGTTATATGAATGAGCCAATGTTCAATTATCAGAATAGTTCCAGTAAATCTCCCTAGAGTAAATTATAAATGGAGAGGTGTGTGGGTGGATGTGTGTGGGGAATTGTATGAGTTTTAGTCACGTTCACCAGTCTAAAGGATTATAAAACTTTGCTTATCCGAGAATTGCGATCGCTTTTATGCAACGTAAGTATTTAAAATTTAAGTCATCCGTTGTGTGATTCGTTTTTAAGTATATAATTTCTATTAGCATATATTACAGGTATAAGACATTAAATTTATTAAATTAATAAATTCAAAGCTCTCGTTAAACCTAAATTAATCAATAAAGCTTTTTAAAAATTTGACAAATATTTAAATGATCCTAATCCTTGAGATTGATTTGCTCCAGTTCAACCATTTTGTATGACTCTAAACTTGGCGATTAAAAAGAGTGGCGGAGAGTTTCTTGCCTAAAGTTATTTTGAGTTTGAAACAACAGGATATAGTTATAATGTTTAGCCATGCACGATTAAGCCACTATGCAGATATTATATAAACGATTTCACTACTTTTCTCGAGATGCCTCAATCTAAAAAAACAAGCGCAATTCTACCAAGTTTATGGTGATTAATTAAATTTGAATACAATGGAAATACACACAAAGGTAAATTGAATTACCTTTAACGTTAAGTATCTATATAAATACTAAGACATCAGAAATCCTACCAAAATTCACAATGAAGCGCTTCGAAAATCTTTGGCAAAAGCTCACTCATACAAAAGCTCTAGAGTTATCTAGTGGACGATTTGAAACGTTGTACTTTGAGTCTGCCTATCGTGTTACGTATTTAGCAGGTATTTATAAAATTAGTAGAACAGTAGAAAAAAAGATGTATCGACATTTTAAAAACTTTACTTTTATTATACTTATACTGTGCTTCTTTTATTATTTAAAAAAAAAGTTCGTAATAGCAAAACGTAGAGACCGATTGCTCTTGTCCATCTAATGACACACGCCGTCGACTCGGTAATTCGGTTTCCTAACAATGTTTTCCTTCACCGTTCGAGCAAATTTTAAATGCGCACAGAAAGAAAGTCCATTGGTGCACAGCTGGGGAACGAACCTATGAACAAGGATGAAAGTCGCACGCTGAAGCCAGTAGGATAACACTGCGTACCCATAGATGTCTTACCCGAATCATTGTTTGATTCGCCGGATATCGAACCTTCCTTACGTTTTATCAAAATATAATCACGTTTCAGGTTTATCATTTTTTCATGAAAAACCATTATATTCCATATACAGTACAACAGTAAAACTATTTTTGTTTCTGCTATGCGTGAGTGAATTATGGTATTTCCTGACATCGCAATGGACTATAGACACTATAATTGATAGTGTCAACATCACTATTATTCAACTCAGCGCTTTCTATAAGTATACTAAAAAGGTAATTAATATTTTGTGAATGTGAAAAATGGTTTAATTTTAAAAGAGCTTAATTCGAAAAATAAAAAGGTTGAAATCAACAAATATTTTTTTCTCACAAATTTTCAATCATTAGCTAAACAAAGACTTGCCCGGTTAAAAGTAGTGCATTTAATCTGATACTCCAATTTTCTTTATACTTTATGTTGCCGCAAATAAGACCTGTATAACTATTGATTTATTGGAGGTAATCTTATTGTTGTTTATCAAAAACTCTTTTAATCACAGCGTAAAGACAATTTGATTTTGAGCAACTTCTTCGTCACTGTCGTACTCTCTCTGAAATAGCTAAAGGTTAAGTTCTATAAGTTAAAAGGTGAATTCATTATCAGAAGTTCATGCAAGTATCACCCTTGTCAACTTAATATTCAATATTCCATCGTCGAGGGTTTCAAAGGCAAATTTTGACATGGAACAGCACCTGTTATGCTATTTGGAAATGACATTATTCTAAGAGTACAAATCCATTTAAGATATGCAACGCGGTTATTATTCCGCCGTTCATTCTAGACTGGAGAAATACTTAAACATTTGTACGAGGTTCTGAAACAAAAGATGACTTACTTGACTTCCATTCCATCTGGTCTTGATCGTCGTATTTCACTTAGTTCCAAGTCTTTCCGGTTCTCTTTGGCGCATCTGCAACTGTATGACACCAAGTTTGCTTGGGCGACGCTTCCGCTTTCCTTGCGGGTCTCAATAAAGCTTGCTTTGGGATATAATTGGATTCTCTTCGAGTGTATAGCCTATCAATTTCCACTTGCGTCGCTTGATCTGCTGGCTAATCGGAGTGTCTTGGCAGCGCTCCTGAAGTTGTAATACCCAATCTTTATAATTATGTTGCATCTCTTCATAATCTGCTAATTATGTTATCATACTTTTTCTTTATACAGTTGGCTAACGAGAGCG